GATTTTAGTTATTTAAAGTCCGAGTGTACGTTATTTTCATTATCATTAAAAACGAACGGAAATAACGCACCAGAAAATGTGTAAATGTAACTAAATAATTTACAACGTGATATAAATCCTCTTCTTAAGATTGGAAGATGCATAATTCATTAAATTTCATTCGTACCTGTCGGAACATAAATAAGCTCATTTACAAATTTTTGCACCAAGAATAATCCCTTTGTTTAGGAATGCATTTATATGTGAACAGCGTTTTTTTCACAGTTGAAAATTACCGATTGACCGATGAGATCTAGTATAATTCGTGATTAAGATAATTGAGAATCCGATTGATGGATGGAATCTATAATTCGTGATGAAGATAATTTGTAGTAATTTCTCTCCAAGCTTACTAACTTTATCAGAATGGAAATTATATCGAGTGCCAAACTGCAGTAAGAAATGGAGAACTTTATAATTGTTTATATAAAAACGTGTATTTTTATTCATGCGTATAAGAAAACTTTGATTTATAAGCAATAGAGACTAGATTTCTGTTATTTATTCTCCAATTTTGTCTCTTAGTAAATTTTCTAAGAAAACTTAGAAGATTTTCATTATTTGTTTTAGTTTAAAGTAAGTTACTTAAGGATTAATTTAACGTGTTAGATTTATTGGAAAGAAATGCCAGTGCAATAATTTAGCTTTTAGCTATGAATATATTTGAACTGCAAAGCGTAACTAGTGAAAATGTCTTATATTTACCAAACTTAAGATTTCTGAAAGAAAACGAAAATAAATTTAGTTTTTTTACCTTTCCGATAGTATTATTATTATTATGGCATATGTATGTTTTGATAAATATTTAGTAAGAAAATTTTAAATTTATCTAATTTTTTTTGGGCTTATAATATAAGGTATTTCTCCCGCCTTCGTGGTGTAGTGGTCAGCACGCTCGATGCGTATTCGAGAGGTCCGTAGTTCGAGTCCCGGCGAGGGCGCCGATGGCGCTTGTTCATCTCCAGCTTTCAAAAAATACGTAATGTCTCTGCAATGGCGCCCGAACTAAAAAAGGTGGTGGATGATGACTCTTCACCACCAAAAGTTGGCAATTGGGTCCCCTAACTCCCAGTCGCCATTTAAAATATATATGATATTTCTGAAATATATATATATATATCTTTTAAATTATAAAGGTATTTCTGCCGCTCCCCTAGCATGATTTCGTGGTGTACGCTCGACGCGTATTCGAGAAGTCCGCGGTTCGAGTCCCGGCGAGTGCACTGCTTATTTTTCATCTCTCCAGCTTTCAGAAATACCTAATGTCTGTACAGTAAAAATTTTAATGTTGTTAAAGCAAGTCTGGCCGTTCGGCTCTTTTCAGACTGTACATTCGGCCCGTATGTGACTAAGTTAGAAACACTGCAGTGGATTGCTAGAAATTCTTAATATTAATTCATCCAGTGTAATCAAAAGATCCAACTGTGATTTCAATTCTTTACTTATAACATTCAAAGCTTTCTTCAAAACATTTATATAAAAATCTGCGGTGGACGCCACATGAATTACATTTATACACATTTTTGGCTACATTTCATTTAAACTTGTTTCCTCGAATTATTGTAAATGAACCGATCCCTCCGGACAATTTGAAAATGGCGTACAAAAATTTAAAATTTTGAAATTAAACATCCTGGTCCTGGGAGGGCATAGAAGGAATGTCCTAGGAAAGGAATGCAGCAGAATAATGATGTAGTTATTGTGCCAAGAGTATTTATGCTAAGTTTGATGTCATTGTAGAGGCAAGCTATGATTGGCTAATATTAGTTTTAGTTGCCCTTTTCCAGGAGCTTTTTATAACACATAGAAAGATCTCAAATTTGGGAGAATAGGTGAATTTAGGGGGACAGCACCAAATCTGGAATGTTAATTTTGAGATCGCTAATTATTTTTAAAGCAGCTATCGTATTTTGTTATATCTTACATATATATAGGTTTGGTTTTGCAGATTGCAATAAACAGGGAGGTGCATAACTAAATGTCAGTCCGATGTGTAAAATGTCTACGGCTAAACATTTTCGAGTTATGGAAGATACATATATACGCACGTACAGACGTTACAAAAAAGGTCAATTTGAATCGATTTTGTGAAAAAGAGTCTTTTATTCCATCTGTACGTACAGATATCAAGCCAAAAAAATCAAACTGTGTGTTTTCTTTGAAATATGACACCCGAAATTTTTCACGATTACAATTTCTGCAACTGCTGTATTACAGTTGCTTTAATTATAAGAGGTTGAAAAAAACTTCCAATCAATACCAGTATCAGTGGATAATCTCAGAGTTTAGAAGTTGCGCATGTTAGACCTCTATCACTTCTTCTCTCAAGACTGACGTTTTATAAAGTTTATTATAGGTTATCCTACTTACGGACTTCTCTAGTTTTAACAACAAAAATTGTATTCAAAACATTATGACTTTGCAATGCTCCTTTGCAACGTGCATCCAAACATAGAACAGGTATGCATGAATCGGCCGGCTCATCCATCTCATTTACAAACGCTAACGTTTATTTCATTTTTAGTCATTAAGGTAAAGATTATCCAAACTCCAACAGGCGTGAATTATTGGAAGCGAATATAAATATCCTTCTATTAATTGAATTACTGCCAGCATAAAATTAACTGTATTTTAATTTAAAGTATACGAATAGTAACATATGTTAAAAAAATTATAAAGAAAACAAGAATAAGGACAAAAAAGAAAAAGAAGAAGAAGAAAAAAATTAGAAAGAAAACAAGAATAAGGACTAAAAAAAGAAACAAGAATAATAAAAATTTAAAAGAAAACAAGAATAAGGTCGTTCGCAGAACATTCTAATTTATAAAAGAAGTCTTCACTCGAAAAACGATTGAGAAACGCCGAGTGAGCATATAAATTGAGCATATCTTCAGAATTTCCGATGCACAGTCTCGCGCGCTGGAGATAAAAATGTTTTTTCTGTTACAACGTTGTCATGGCTCGCTTACAAATCCTTAAGTTTTTCTTTAATCAAAAATTTGTTGAAGGTTTACAAAATAGGAAAATTGATCATAAAACAAATTCCAAATTTAAAATTTGTTTTTAATTTCCAAATGCCCATATTCGCAGTAGGATTACGTCATTCAAAATTGGATGGCTCTAGGTACCTTCGACTTATCACAATGCGAGAAACATATACATGTATGCGGATTTTTCATTATTTAATTTCTTCAACTATAATACAGGGCGATAATATTGGGTGGCAACAGTTTGAAAAGTGAATCGGACATTCAGAGTGATTCGACGCAAAATTGCAAAACGAAAACAATAGGCCCTCAGGGACAAAGCTTCTTAGGGCTAAAAAAAAGAAAAAAAAAAGGGGTTGGGAATTTCAGTACAGCCAAATTTTGCTTCGGCTGTGCAGTTAACGTTTTATGCAATTTTAGAACGTAGCAAGGAATTATGAATAACACTGTATATGTACTAGTTCATTTGACCATGAACTATTGTTACAGCGTTTTGTAAAATATCAATGAATCTTTTTCAGTTAGATAAATGAATTTATTCTTCTGCACTATTTTTTAGCAAATTTTCTTAATAAAATTTTCTGGTTTGCTTTATTTAAAAAAAAATTATATTCCACAGACAATAACACAGACAATAATTCCTTATATATGATACTGGAAATGTTTTCTGTCATCATAGACTCAACTATAAAAACTTAAAAACTCTTAAAGTGGTAGTTAACTCTTTGGGGGTTAATAATTTACACACGGTTCAGCTAAAGCGCGGAACAACGTAATTCTCTTCCACATGTTAAAGGAAATAATTTTTTATTTTAATTTTTTATTAAATTAAATTAATTAATTTACAATTTTTTAATTTAGTTATAATTTGTAAATTATTATTTCTTTAAAGATATTTCCATCTTTAATCGATTTTAATGTTCGTTGATTGTACTTTAAAATTATTATGAAACATTTAGTAATCAATATGAGACGCCTTTTCCTCGAAAAACGTTTTATAAGTACTCTTAAAATACTAAATTTGTAGTAGTAGAAAACGTTTTTAAAACTGTTTTATCCAAATAGTAGTGTAAATTAGGTTTAATTAATTTCTTCGCACCATATTGTTCAGTCAGTTTACTACGCATGTGTGTCACATTTCTTTAATTCTAAAAGGTGAAGCTTTTTTTCCAGATAAATGTGGTTGAAAACGGGGTGCCCTAAATGGGAATAAATTTATTTCTGCAAATTACCAGTTATTTCGAAGTAATTTATTTTTAAAAATTATTCACTATACTGCTGCTGTTAATAAATTGAAGTCGATTGTTAACGAATATTTACCAGATATACTTGAGCATTTCATTTCATTTATTTTGTTTGTATGTAAAACGTATGGTATATCGAATCACACAACAAAATGAGAGACAAGAAAATTTGTAGTACAGTGAGTATTTCCCAATTCACGGTAAAATTAAAGTCAAAAATAAATCGGAAATAAATGAAACTTTAAGGTAAGAAAAATTAATATAAAAGTAAAACTAAATCATATTTAACTGCGTTAGGCATTTGTTATTTTTTAATTGCTTCACTTTTAATAGTTTTATAATATTATCCGTAATGATTATTTGTCACGGTAATAAAACATGTTTCATAAATTTATTATTGCTTTCTTTTGTCAATGTTATCGCTGTATTAGTTTTAACATTAAAAAGTTGCAGACTTATGTTTCTGTTTTAATATGTGATTCTCAAATTTCAATCCTAATAAAGAAAAGTTTACATCCATATTTAGGTACTGCCGAATATCGAAAGCTTCCTGATTGACATAACAATTGGTTTAAGCTTACTAATTTATTTATTTCAATGTAAAATATATATTTTTTAAATGAAAGCATCTAATATTTTGGTTACGTTTAAATTATTTTATCAACATCAAATTTTGGCAATCGTTCTAGATGAGTTTAAGAATATTAGAAAAACTCTTAGACAGACTCACCAATATCCATAAAAAGTGTTGCGATCTTTTTTTTTTTCTTTTTTCGTGTAATCCAGAACACACCAAATTATTCGAGTTTCTCGGTGAGGAAAACGGTCTCACACTTTGGAGAAAACCATCATTCCAGGTGATGGATGAGAAAGCGCAAAACGGAGCGATCAGTGAGTGGTCGTCTGCTGAGTGACCGAGAATTAACTATTCCTCTATATTTATGTGACGGATCGGGAGCGCTGAGTCGGAGTAACGGGGTGTTGAGTGTGTCGGACGTCGAACTGGCTAGCATGGAGTCGGTCCTTCTTATAACCGCGTTGGGGCGTGCAGCTGACCCAGCCAAGCGACTGCTGACTCGCTCCGCGATTGAAGTTTCCGCGCGAACAGTTAGGGGACTGGATACTTATTGCGAATCGTTTCTCGAAAGATCCGAATTCAAGTCGGTGAATATAAGGGATCGGAAGTAACATGTATTGGATTCGAGAAGCACAGGAGCCGGTGTGTTGAGATACCATGGATCAGTTGCGAGCAATTAAGTTGTTCGGGGTTTATCACATCGTGAAAGTACTCGTTACGGAGTAATTATGTTTTTAAATGGTTGGTGTTGGTTATTAACTGATTACATCTTTAATTAGATCTGAATGACTAAATCTCTGTTCGTACTTTACAATAGTACGATTTATTTTTACCTTTTAATACATAGCCGCTTAAGGGGTACCAGCCTATACCGACAATGTTAAGCTAGGTATTTTTGATGTACCTTTTATCAAAATCTGCTGTAGATACAAGGATTGAAATTTTTTGTGTAATTAAAATATGCCTATCTGATTTGTTTGTTGTTTGTTGCTTGGGGGTGGCTGGGTTACTGGCTGCCCTCGTTTGTGGAGATACGGGGCCCCTTCTTTTGAGCTATGGGGATACTCGTGTCCAGGTGGGCTGAAGAGAGCCTCCAATTCTTACCTATCTGATTCTATTTAAAATGTATGTATGGCTCCTGAATATAATTCCCGATCTTCATATCAAATATCTTGGTCAATTTTTGTTGTACGTGGATCAAACATTTAGGTTGTGTTTTTTACAACGAGTACAAAATTTTCATAAACATAAGAATAGGGATCGGAGGAATGTGTAAAATATTGGATTTACGTAATCTAATCTTTAATAAGATTCTAACACTAACGTTAACTGATCATAAATTTCACATTGAAACTATTTGGACTTTTTTAAAACTATCCATACATATTTCATCACCGTTTGGAATTCTTTTAAAAAATATCTTTTCATTAACATTTTAAAAACAATGATATCTCTACAGTAACATAAATATAATTTTAAAATGAACGAGTTAACATTTGTAGGAAAAGAGAGGTTTTTAAAATTAAGGAGATTTAATGATGCTTCGTATTTCATGTTTACTTTACTTAGCCTCATCAGCTAATTCGGCTCGAACGTGTTTAATTTCGTGAGTGTGACAAGAGTTTGACATAAATTTTTATTCGCAGCAATGAAAAAGTTTGCATTGATTTCGAAGTTTTATTTTTTCTTAAATCTTAACATATCATCGCGTTCGTTTGTGCTTTCTTTACGCTTCCGTCTTCCCAACTTGCATTTTTATTAATGTGCTTAGTGAAAAATGTATTTCTAAGTATAGTTTTATATAGGTAACCTTAGCATCAAAAAAATATCTTTTCATTAACATTTTAAAAACAATGATATCTCTACAGTAACATAAATATAATTTTAAAATGAACGAGTTAACATTTGTAGGAAAAGAGAGGTTTTTAAAATTAAGGAGATTTAATGATGCTTCGTATTTCATGTTTACTTTACTTAGCCTCATCAGCTAATTCGGCTCGAACGTGTTTAATTTCGTGAGTGTGACAAGAGTTTGACATAAATTTTTATTCGCAGCAATGAAAAAGTTTGCATTGATTTCGAAGTTTTATTTTTTCTTAAATCTTAACATATCATCGCGTTCGTTTGTGCTTTCTTTACGCTTCCGTCTTCCCAACTTGCATTTTTATTAATGTGCTTAGTGAAAAATGTATTTCTAAGTATGGTTTTATATAGGTAACCTTAGCATCAAGGAACAAAACTACACTTTTTAATTTTTTTAATGTGTGTCGAAATCAGTTATGTTAAAGTTAGCCAGAATTGTTTTCTTTACAATCTTCCACAAAATATTCCACTTCCTTTTTTTTATTTCTTTGGGAAAAAAAAATGTTTTACTATAAATAACAGAATAACTCAAAACGCGAAATTAAATCTCACTTTATACGTCTCGACAAAGAATGAAACAAACTTACGTACCGATTCGTTTAATCCGCTAGCAATAGGCGCCTGTTCTATAAGGTATTTCTCCCGCTTTCCTAGCGTGCCTTCGTGGTGTAGTGGTCAGCACATTGGCCTGTATTTCAGAGGTCCGTGGTTCGATTCCCGGCAAAGGCGGTTGCATATTTTTCATCTTTCCTGCTTCCAATTAACCAAAGACTCTACAAGTGGCGCCCGAACTTAAAGGGTTGTGGATGATGATTCTCCACACCCAGGATTTGGAGACTATGTCCCCTGAAACCTAGTCGCCCTTTAAAATGTGGAGTATATAAGGTATTTCTCCCGCTTCGCTAGCGTGCCTTCGTGGTGTAGTGGTCACACTGAATCGGTATTTCAGAGGTCCGTGGTTCGATTCCCGGCGAAGGCGGTTGCATAGTTTTCATCTTTCCTGCTTCCAATTAACCTAATGATTCTACAGCTTCAGAAAAAAACATAAATGAAACCATATGTACAATCTCACGCAAACTAGAGGTTTGAATCCCGCGAATGGGCTGACTGCATGGGTGTTTTCGTGTTTTTCTCCATATAAAACGTATTTACGAGCCAGTTTCCCTTAGAAGGTCCTCCACGAAGGCATCTCTTCCTTAAGACAGATAGCCCCTCGAGTGCTTTGCCGTAATATAATAAAACAAAACAAACAACAACAACAAAAAAAAAAAAAAAAAAAAAAAAAAAAAACACGCAAACTAAATTTGGATAGAAGACACTGACACTGACAACATTTTACACAAAAAATACATCAGAGACTAATAATTAGGTACGTTTAATTTTCAAACACTCTCGCTCAGTCTCCCGATGCTAATCCTTTGTGGGTTATGCTGCAAGAAACTGTCTAGATTTACGTCAAAGCTTGTAATGGAGCAGTAGAAGCAGTGCAAATTAATAGGAAATATTCTAATGTCGGCAGTTTATTTTTTATGAAAGCCTTAGTCTAGCAAAAATTAATTTCAGTACGATATTTCAAATAATACATTTCAATGCTGAAACCTCATCCGTTCTGAAAATAAATTAATGTTATTAATTCTTCTCTTAATTCAGTTGGATCGTGTGTAACATTTATCTCTTTCCATTTGCATTCGTTAGCCCAAATTTAAATCATAATTTCTTTCTCGAAATTAATTAAAAATTGTTGTAGCTCATTTCGCGCCTCTTCTATTTGTTCACTTGAGCAAGTTTGACACAAACCATTGTTGCATACCCTTAATCTACATACAGTTTTCTGCAAACAGTCCGCGGAGGTGCGTGTTTTCTTGCCGAATAAATAAAGTTGAAAGCAAGCTAATGGGCAGTGACTGACTTGTGGCATTACACTTGCGCAGCCGTTGTCTGACCATTGGACATCCATTCTTAGTAACACAGGTGCTGCGCTTCGATATTGGTTTCGATACTGGCGAAGAAAGAATTGGCAAATAAAAGGTACTGGCAAAGAAAGAATTGGCAAATAAAAAGTACTGGCAAAGAACGATTGACATAAAAGCCTGGGATTATCTCCGACGGCGTCTTTCGAGACTCTCTCTCACTTCCCATAAAGTGACATCTCTCTCGGATTATATCGTCTACTTATTTTCAGAATTTGTAGAATCTTATAAACTGATATGCGAATAATCGCTTGAGTTCATGTGACAGGAAACAACAAGACAGAAGGGTAAAATAACCCTTTATTATTCCAATTAAAGTTTAACAGTAACTCCGTCTTGGAGTTGTACAATAAAGCCGACACTTGGGCTTGAACTTAAGAGAATATGAATCAAGCTAAACTAATCTTAACTAAAGAGATATAGCCGAAGCTATCAAAATTCCAACAGAGTTGGCCCCTTAACGCTAATTGACTGCGAAGCTATCAAGAGCCTAAAGTACGGCGAGCGTAATAATAGCTTACTAGAGAGCCTAAATAGGCGGACTCTTGCAGCCAGAATATCTGGTATCTCTCTCACTAAGACCGTAGAACTTCGCGGTTATATACCGCTCTTCCTCATTAGCATTCAGACGTGATTCTAAAACCATGTTCTGTCCAGAAGAGGTAAGTTGAAATTAAGAATCGATAGGAAAGGAAGTTTAACTCAAAATTTAACTGTTCATAAAATTAACATAATCCTTACAATTGGATGCACACGTTTCTTCAATGTCCGGACTCACTTTTTATTTTTCCTTTCTCCCGTAGATGGAAAAGATTCATACGCCAAGAAAGAAGTCCGATTTTGGGTGAGTTTAATTATTATTAATCAGATTATTATTGATTATTTTGAATTAATTTATGAATTTCAGTCGCTTGTTTCTTCTTTGTACGAAGTAAAGGAAATATTGTCATCACGAAAAATTCCAGGTACCATATTTCAACGAAAATATTGATTTTGACCACTATCGAATGCCATTTAACGAAAATTTGGCGTTGCATCTGTACATATGGGCAGAATAAAGGACTCGTTTCCCCCCCCCCAAATCTGATGTGTACACCACGTGATTTTCTTTGCACGGAATACTAAATAATACGCATTTTCCCTTGCATTTCATTTAAACTTATTGGATTGAATTAAATCTACATCGTCGATAGCGCATAAACCACAGTAGAATAAATGCACTTTTTAAAATTCACTATATTTGTTTATCACAGCGACACTCTGGCACTAGCTTAACTTAACAGCTTTACATTTCGTGCATATTATAACTCAGAGTGCATATAAATTTATATCATTTGAAGTCTTATCTAATCATTGCCACATGTTCTATTCAAATACTATAATAAATCTAGAACGATGTATAAAAGAAATTAAGCAAACCAAACGAAAAAGAAACAGTTTTTCACAGACGATTCAGTATTTCTCATTCAACTAATTCAGTTCTCACTTCCAATACAAAAATACATAAAAACTCAAACTATCTGTATTAAAAATTACGAAGTAAATCTGAAACACTTATTTCCTCGAATAAATCCCAGAATGGATTAAGCATGATTTAATTCTC